GTTGTGCCTGGGGGCAGCACCCTGGATGGGGGTCCAGTCCGTGGAGGGCCAGCAGGGCCTCAGACGTGAGTCCTGGTTCCGCGTGGCCCCTGTGAGCACGCAGCTGTCGGCCGGACCCGTTTGGGGAGTACCGGAGGCTCTGGAGGGTCTCGTTGGTCCCGGCCACGTCGTGCCGTCCACGGGCAGAGTGGGGGGCTTGTCCAGGGTCCACACAGTCTCTGGGCTCCCAGGCAACTGGTGGGGCCACACTCTTGCTGGCCCAAGGGGCAGAGCCTGCGGGACGCTGTACTCAGGGGCCCCCTGGGGGCAGCACCGGGCCTGCCCTGTCCAGCGCTGCCCCTCACCCAGTACCTGTGTGGGCCCGGCAGCCCGTGGTCCGGAGTTTCCAGCCAGACAGAGGCCAGGGCCTGCGGGAGCTGGGCCGATGGAAACGTCGCTCCCTCGTCCCCATCACTCGGACCCGGACGGGACCCCCCACTCAGAGAGGGTGCAGGGGATGTGGGCAGGGGCTCCCTCGGTGGCCTGGAAGGATGTCCCATGCATGACGCACGCCAGGCCCGGCGCTCCTTGGCCAGCCCACCCCATCCATGACTGGTCCACAGCTAAGTCCCGGTTCTGGTGTCGGCTCGGCAGAGACAGAGTGGGCGTCTGGACTTGCCGTCCGGGTGTGCCCCGCTCACATGCCCCACGGTCCCCGCAGGCGGGCCGGGAGCACTGTGTTCCCATCCACGCCGAGGGGAAAACAGCCCCAGATAGGCTTGTACTGAGACGGGGGAAAAAAAGAGCAGATGTACCTCTGGCCTCCCAACGCCTCCTAACAGAAAACATCTGCCGTGCTTCCTGGGGCCCCCGAGCCGGAGAACACACCCACGCGTTTCCACGCTCTTGCCGAACCCTCACTTGGCTGAGGGGCTCCGTTTTGCAACCGGCGGAGCCGTCCAAACGGCTGTCTAGTTGCGCGTTTCTTTCCCACACACGACCCCTGGGCTGGTGAGTGGGTAGAGGGATCAGGGGTCTGTCCCAGAAACCCCCCAGCTCTCCCTGGGCCGGGCCCAGTGCAGGGTCCTGGGGTCGAGGGTTTCCCCGGGAACCCAACTCCACCCCGTGTGAGTGCCCGGGGGGCCGCTTGCAGGAGACAATGGGGTTTTGTTTGCGTGTTCCCCTGCCCATGGGAACTAAAATAAACAAAGCGTTTTTGAGGACTCTTCAAAGTTTCCATTTTGTTTTAGAGACACCCGCATGTGTGTCCAGCTCAACTCAGCTCCTAGTGGCCCCGACTGGCCAAGACACGGCTGCTCCTTTCCTGGGCGGGCTGGGGAGGGGGCTCTGGGTCAGGGACTCTCTCCCAGGCGGAGTGTCCCCCGTCCATCCCCGCGTGGCTCAGCACGGCCTCTGTGCAGATCGCCTGTTCTCCAGCGGCCTCACGCCCAGCCCTGGCGGCGGGAGCCTGTGGTTTGGCGCCGTGGCTGCATGGTCTGACCACCGTGGCTGCGTGGGCTGGCGCTGTGGCTGCGTGGTCTGACCGCCGTGGCTTGCGTGGGCTGGCCACTGCAGGGGGGCTGGGAGGTTCCAGGACACTAACAGCCAAGGGAAAGCGGGCAGCACTGGTGCCCTAGGGGCCGCGAGAGGAGGGTCTCAGAAAGGCAGGCGGGGTGGGGGGCACAGGGGCACGGGGGAGGGGGGTGCGTGGTGCCGAGGGGCCCGCTTAAGGGAGCAAGAGAGAAACCCCCCAGCAGACAGGGCGAGCCGGGAGACAGACATAGTCCAGAGCTGCCCATCCCAGGACGGGCGGGAGTGGGCAGACGTAGGCTGGAGGAATTAGAACATTCCTGTAAAATCCAAACACAGCAGATTATTCCCAAGATCAAAGAGGGGGGTTGTGCTGGGAAGGGGCTTTGTTCTGCCCTGCAGTGAGGGGGGGGGGGGGCTCAGGGTCCAGACGTGTCCCGGAAGTACCCCGGGGCGGGGTTCCCAGCCAGCCCTGGGCTGCGACTGCCCCCCTCCTGCTTCCTGCCCCCGCTCCTCTCCGTCACCATGTCCCTAGAAGGGCCTAGAACCTTCCCTAGAGAGGGCTTCCCGCTGAGACTGGGCGGTGCTGCGGGAGCCGCTGGCCTGTGTGGGGGCAGGGCCTGAAGCTGCCCGGCCTGGCTGCTCTCCTGCCCCCCACACCCACAGGGCAGCTCCTGGGGCTGCCGGACCCCGGCCACCATCCTCACGGCCACTACTCAGCCCGGGAGGGCACCGGGGTGCCCAGGACAGGACAGGAAGCCGGGCCTATGGGCGGGGGGAGGGCACTGGGGGCCGGGAGGGACCCCCGACAGCCTCCCCCCACATGCTCGCACATGTTCTTATACACCCCTGCTCCATTGCCACCCTCCTCATGCACGCAGGCTCCACGCCTCCATCATACTCCCTTCCACGCTTGTCACGCTCACTCAACCCACACACCCGTCCTTGCACACGCATGCTTGCACGCCTGCTCCCACTCGTGTGGTCACACGTGGTTCCACGTTCTTGTGCACACTCACAGCAGCCTCACACATGTGAGCAGGCGAGGTGCAGACGCGGTGATCCCTGTTCTGGGCTCCGTGGTCCATCCCGTTCCCGCTGATGGGGGGGGGGGCTGTGTCTGAGTGGACGGGGCAGGGGCCCGGGGCGGTGAGCGCACGGACAGACGTTCTGAGCCCTTTCCTGTGTCATGGGAACAGGCGGGTGACTCAGCGCTCTGGAATGGGTGTGAATGTCATCCGGTTCCTCCCTCGGGGACCCCGCTCCCGGTCAGGGCAGTGAGCCGCCTGCCCCTTCCTCCCGGCCCTGCTGGTCTCTGCCCTGTGGATGTGCCCTGGGCTCATAGGAGACCCCCCACCCCCACGCACGAGGGCCTCCGGCATTGGGGGGTGGAGACGGGCAGGCGCTATGGGCCCCCACCTGTCTACTCTGGTGCCCTCCCGGGCCAGGACAGAGGGCTCCTGTGCCCCCAGGGGGCTGTTTCAACCCCCACCCCCACCCCACAGCCTGTGCCCAGCCCCAGGGCCACAATGTGCGAGACCCAGGATTGTCCTGGGGCCTCACCTCTGGGGCCTGGAAATAACGGCTGAAACTCCTGCCCCTCAGAGCCTGCGACAGGCTGGCCTCTGACCTGGGCTGAAGGCTGCAGGCTGTACATGGTGTGTGTATTTGTGTGTATGTGTGTGTGTGCTTGGGTGTGCGTGTACGTACAGCTGCCTGTGTGCGTGTGTGTATATTTACACACGTGTGCGTGTGCGTGTGTGTCTACATGTGTGTGAACATGTGTGTGCGCGTGTGTGTGCATCTGTACATATGTGTACATCTGCTTGCATGTGCGGATGTGTGCACCTACACGTGTGTGCATCTGCATTTGTGCATGTGTGTGCGTCTACGTGTGTGTGCACGTGTTGTGCATGTGTGGGGTTGACCGCGTGTCCAGGGAGGCCACAGCCCTGCGTGTGCCCACACCAGGGAGCAGAGCCGTGACTCAGCCGCTGTCCTGTGGAGAGAAATCTGAACTTGGACGCGGGCTCCAGGCCACAGTGGCTTCTGCCCTCGAAACTTCCAGCAGAGCCTCCCTGGGGCCTCCTGCCGGTCAGCACCAGGAGGGCGGGCGCTGCGGGGCCCCTGGCTGCCCCCTAGTGTTGGGTGCGGGAACTGCCATTGGCGGCCGTGATGGCTCTTCCACAGCAGGAGTTGGCACAGCCCCCAGGGCCCTCCCGCGACCCCCACCCCCGGGCATTGTCAGGTGTCCTGCCCCCGGCTCTGGCGGCCACCACCCTTCACATGTCCTGGTGCAGGCCTGGGAGCACTGCGCCCCGAGTTCTGAAAGAGCCAGCCTGGACAAGGAGGCGGTCAGGTTGCTCGGGGTGGGCATGGCCACGCAGACAAGGTTCACACCGTGCCACCTGGGGAGGACGAGGGCCCACAGGAGGCCGGGCAACCCCCTGCCTGGACACGGCCATCCCGTCCTGAACGCTCTGGGCCCCGGGACGAGCTCAGCGCAGGAGTCGGGACTCGGGAGCCACAGGACCCTGGCCAGGCCGCTGGCCCCACTGGCCGTGTTTAGTGCCGCCTTCCCCCTGTGGCCGATAGCTTTTTCCCCACGGGGCTGCCGGCTGCGGGTGGACGCAGGCGCACAGAAGGGGAATGCCCTCTGGTTGCTGGACCCGCACAGGGTGTCCCCAGGCTTTGGCTCTGCCCACGTCCCGCACGCCCCGTCCCCTGCCTGCGGCTGAACCCCCACAGCCCGCCCGGGGGTCTCCAGGCCACATGCCCAGGAAGGAGATGGCCGGAGAAGCAGCGGCCTGGATCCCCTTCAGGAGAGTCAGGGAGGGGCTGGTGCCGGCAGGGGCCTCATCCTCCCCTGAGCTCCACCCTCAGCCCCCCTGGGCCCCCCACTCCACCGCCTCGCCGCCCCTCCCCTCCCTGAGTGCAGAACTGAGGGAGTCCCGGGCTGCACTGTGTGTGGCCCAGAACCCAAACAAAACCAAAACAAAAGCGAAGAAGCAGAAAGTGTCTCCTCTGGGTGGGAGAGCCGGGGTGGGGGCTGGGGCTGCAGTGCTGAGACCCAAAGTGAGCCAGGCACTGGGTGCAGGAGCCGAGGTGGAGCCCGCTGTCCACCCCCCACCACCCATCCCGGCCCAGCCGCCCTGCTGCCCGCATCTCTCTCCCCATCCCTGTGTGCTCTGCCTCGTGCACGGGCCACGGAGGCCTCACCAAGCAGGGCTGCGGCCGGGTGTGAAGGGGGCTGGCGGCGGTTGGACCGGCTGCTTTCAGCCCTGTGGGGGCTCCCTGCAAGGCCTTGGAGGATCAGGGGCCGGGGGCCGGAGGGGCCCGGGTGTGAGTCCACGCGGCCAGTGGCCTCTGTCCCACACTAAGTGTCCGCCGAAGTCTCTCTCCGCAGGAAGTCCCATGGAGGCTGCTCCCTGGGTGCTGGGGGCCCCTCGCTCACGGGGGTCAGCTCACCGTGGACACTCTCGTTCCTCCAGGGCCAGCCGGGACCCGTGGGCACCCAGGGCTACAGCGGGCCCCCGGGGCTGCAGGGCTTCCCGGGCCTGCAGGGAAACAAGGGCGAGAAAGGTGAGCGCGGCAGACCCGGCGTCGTGGGACCAAAAGGCGAAGTGGTAGGTCTCAGGGGCTGGAGTGGGGGCCGGGGGCGGGAGCTGGGCTGGGGGCCGAGTGGGGGCTGGGGGTGGGCTGGGGGCTCAGGGGCTTTGCACCCTCACTGTCTGTCTCACCTGCAGGGCGTCAGAGGCGTGTCCGGCTTCCCCGGGGCCGACGGGATCCCCGTAAGTACTGCGGATGCTCAGTGCCGGCCGGCAGCAGCTGGACCCGGCCATGCTGTGGGCGCAAACCTCGCGCGGCTCTTTCCTCCGGAACCCAAACCCTCCAGGCCGCCTCCCTTGTCACGGGGCTCCTAGAACCGGGCTCTGAACTGAGGTCGCCCGGCTCGGACCCGGCCCGGTTTCTTTGGAGCCCATGTGGGCGTCCCCACAGACCCTGCTGGGAGCCCCGACTGCCCTGCCCCCAGCCTCCGACATCTGCACAAAAGAAAAGGCCTGTGTGAGCCGGGAACAGCCTCCACGGGCCCGAGCTGTGTTTTTCTAACCCAGTTGACTTTCCTTCTTGTGGCATAAAATAATAAATCAGCGGGCCGACACGGCAGATTCCCAGGGCCGCTTCCTGCCTGGCCGGCTGCGTCCAGATGGCCGGGTCAGTCTGTCTGCTGCCGCCCGGGGGACAGCAGCACACACAGGCCTGAGCCTGCACGTGTGCAAGCGCCGACCTCTGTGTACGTGTGCATGCCCTGCACACACGTGTGTGCATAGGAATATGTGTGCAGACACTCGTGAATTCGCACATGCACGTTTACCGTGGACATCCACGTGCTCACACGTGTGTGCCTGTATGCTCACAGGTCATGTATGTTCATCTGTGCCTGTGCGCATGCACATGAATATGCACATGTGTGTGCGTAAGTTTGCACACGGATGCCCTCACGCTTGCACACAGGGAGACACACACACAGCCGCACAGTTGTATGGGGCCTGTTGCCCCGGAGAGGACAGAGCAGGGGTGCGGTGGGCCAGTGGTCTCGAGGTGGGTCCCCTAGGCTGGTCCCCCACGTACCCCAGCTCGGCTGGTCCCACCCGGCAGAGTCCACACACCGGCCCCTCTCACCGTTGTTAGAACATGAGGACGAGTTTCTAGAGGGGGCGGGAGAGGCCCCCGTGCCCCCCGGGGGAATCTCTCGGCAGGGTCCCGGGCTCTCAAGCATTCACCGAAGTTCACTCAGCCCCATGGTGTCAGGCCTCAGAACTTTCTAGAATGCTTCCATCTGCTCTGACCTGTGGCTCAGGAAGGCGCTGCCCTCCCCCCCGCTCCTGGCAGCCTCCCAGGTCCTCGCCTTGCCGGCATCCACCAAACCTCTTTCCCGCAGGGGCACCCGGGCCAAGGCGGACCCCGTGGGCCGCCCGGCTATGATGGCTGCAACGGCACCCATGGAGACATGGGCCCGCCGGGACCTTCTGGCGCTGGGGGCTTATCCGGCTCTCCCGTGAGTAGCTGCGTGGGCTCTGGGGGGGCGGGGGAGGGGGCTTCTGAGACAGGCAGGTGACCTGCGTGGGGGCTTGGGGTTCCTCCCAGCTGCGAGCCAGTCGGAGGAATGCACTCGTTTCTCTCCCTTCCTCGGCCGGCCACCGTCGCCTGTGCCCTTGTGAGGTCACTCCCCCACCTGCCACCCTCCTGCCCACCCCAAGGCCACTTCAGGGGCTTCTGGAGAGCTTGGAAATCATTTCCACCCTCTGCCACCAGAGTGGGCCGCACCAGTCGCTGTGACGTTTGTGTCAAACACCTTGAGGCCGGCGGCCCACGTCGCAGCTGGACGTGGCTTAACCCAAACCATAGCACCCAGCCACCGCGTGGAAATCACCTGTGGTGTGGGGAGAGTCACTCGTGGCCGCCCCAGCTGCCCTGGCACCCTGAGACTCTCCTAACACAGCCCCGCTCCCGCTGTGGGAGGTGTGGGCGTGGCTGCCGTGGGGTGCAGGGGGACAGAGCCGCACAGCGCCCTCACTCACACACACACACTCACACACGGGGGGGGGGGGGGGGCGGGGGCTGCAGCTGCAGCTGCGGGCGTAGCCAGGCTGGGCTGGCCATCGCTTCCGTCCAGGGAGAATGTCCCTTGGCACGTGGGAAGCTGTGGGGTGGAGGGCGCCCGCCCAGGGTAACGGCTCCGTCTCCCCCTCCCGCCCCCAGGGGCCCCAAGGACCAAAAGGGCAGAAAGGCGAGCCGTACGCCCTATCTCCCGAGGAGCGACACCGATACCGGGTGAGTCGCCCATGGGCCTGGCCGGGAGCCAGCACCAACCCCCAGTAAGGCAGCGATTGTCCCAGGAACACCTGGCTGGGAGGGACGTGGGGTGGACTCAGGCCACGGCCCGTGGGGACGTGCTGACCACCGGGCTGTGTGGACTGCACCCCGCGGGCCGAGTCAGCACTGGGCACCCTCGGTCCCCACAGGAGAGGCCGCGTGTCCCTCGGGCCCACGCTGTCCCTCCCTGGGTCCCTGCATGTCCCTCCTGGTCCCCTGCGTGCCGGTCAGGCGCCCAGTGGGGTCCAGCCGCTCACCCGCTCTCTCCACAGGGGGAGCCCGGCGAGCCGGGACTGGTCGGCTTCCAGGTGAGTTTCCCCCAGCAGACGCGCCCACGTCCCCCGCGCCCACCCACCCTCTCACTGCCTCTCCTGCTCTTCTAGGGTCCCCCCGGCCGCCCGGGGCCCATGGGGCGAATGGGGCCAGACGGCCCTCCAGGGAGACCGGTGAGTGCCCACTCAGCCCCCGGCCCTCGTCCAGGGCAGCCCCAGCCACTGCTGGCCACGGCAGAGGGTGTGCCTTGGGCCAGCAGGGAGGGATGGCGAGTCCCGCTGGGGTCCCCCTGCCCACCTCGGCCCTGCCCTCCTCAGCCCCCACCTCACTCCCTCCCCCGCCTCGTCCCTGCCCGCCTTGGCCCCCATGTCACCCCCGCCCGCCTCTCCCACTCCTCCTCTCCCCCATCTGCTCCTCTGGCGCTTTTTCCTGCCCTAGTGGGCACAGCCCCCGCCGGGCGGGGCAGACCTAGGAGTGGCCCCAAGCTGCCTCCCTGGGTGCTGGACCCCCACGAGCCCAGGAGGGAGCTCCCCGGGCCGCATGGACTCTGCCCACCTCGCAGCCCCAGTGAGCCCGGCCGGGTGGGGGTGAGGACGCAGGCGCCATGTGCTCTGTCTTCCTGCAGGGCCCACCGGGACCCCCTGGACCCAAAGGGCAGCAGGTGAGTGTGTGTGGAGGGAGGGGCTGTGCTCTCACCTGGGTCCCGCCTGGGACACTTGGCTCTGTCGGGTCCGAGCTGGGAGCCTAGCAGTCACATGGGAGCTCCCAAGGGTCCACAGACCCAGGGGGGAGGGTTTTCCTGGTTTCTCAAGTCAGAGCACCTCAAGTCAGAGCCCCCCATGGCCCCGCGAGAGTTGGCAGGTGAACCTCAGGCCAGGGAGTGGAGAAGGGGGTGAAGGGTCCCCCGGCAGCAGGGGGCAGAACTGCCCCTGGATCAGCACAGCCTCAGGGCAGCACCCCAGGCCCCAAGCAGGCACCCAGGGCCCACCAGGCACGAGCGAGATGAGGCTGCTCGTGTGGGAGACGAGTGAGGGTCTGCCAGCTGGGAACGGTCAGTGCTAGGACACGGGAGGAGACACAGACGAGTCGTGCCTGGAGCGACCACCAGAGCCGGTGTCCAGGGCCGCCCCCACCTTCCCAGGCCCTCCTCCAGACCCCAGCCAGCTCCTCCGGCCTTCTGACCCCGCTTCCTCTGAGGCTGGAACTCATTACGGCCCCGTCAGTGGCCGCGCGGGGAGGAAGGCCCTGGCTGGGAACCGCGGAGGTCAGTCCTGACCGGGCTCCTCCCGAGGTAGAGGGACCCGGGCAGTAGAGGCCACCGTGACCCGGGCTGGCCACACCTTGGGAAGCCGGGAGAGGCCATGAAGACAAAGGAAGGCTCTGGCGGGAGGGTGCGGGCACCTCTAGAGGAAGCAGTTCCCACTAAAGGGTGCCCTGGGGATAGCTGGGCAGGGGCGAGGGTCCAGCGAAGGACTGGACACAGGCTCACGGGTCACAGATGGAGGGGGAGACGCAGGGCCGAAGGCACGTGGGATGGCGGTGACCCCGGTTTCACACCTGCGCTTGTGGCTCTGGGTAGCCGCGAGCACTTAGCTGCGAGCCCAGCTGGCCAAGAGTCGCAGGGAGGGTCCGTGGGCCCCCAGCACTACTTGGGAAGCCCCAAAAAAACATTCCTGAGAAATGGGGGGACAGAGGAAAGGGCCCCAACCTCCAGACTGGGGGGCCGTGGGGCAGGCAGGCACCGGGTATGGCACTCGGTGGCGGGGGGATACAACCCCAGAGCAGCCGTTGGGGGTCCCCGTGTGGCCCCTGCGGCCAGAGCCGGCCCTGGCACAAGGTCCGAAACACTCGAGCCAAGGGCAGCAGCCGCGGGAACAGCCGGGCTGGGCCTAAACCGGATGAGCCCAGCACAGGGAACGGGAGGGACGGGGCAAAGGCCTCACGATGGACGGCCCGTCTCCTCCCGCAGGGCAACCGCGGACTGGGATTCTACGGAGAGAAAGGCGAGAAGGTGAGGCGGGGGGAGGCTGCCCCACACCAGCTTCTACCGCAGACCCAAGCTGGGTCGCAGCCAGGCCAGTGGCCAGAGCCTGGGAACCGGGGACACGGGGGCTGGAGGAGCACGTTGTGGCCTTGGGGGTCTTTTCACCCTGGCCCCCACAGCCAGTGGCCTCAGCCCCCGGCCCCACAGGTGCCACAGCCCTGGGGGTCCCTCACTTGATGCCAGAGCAGGCTGGACCAAGGGGCGGGCAGGGGGCGGTGGGGGGACGCCAGCCTTGCATGGGAACCCTGGTCCCACCCCAGCCCCACCTCCCAGCGCGGCCCCTGATGGCCCCGAGAAGGGTCCCCAGGCTCTCGGAGGGCCCCCAGGTAGCCCCCCTGTGCCACGGGCCTGTCCACAGCGTCTCACTGACCCGCCTCTCCCTGACATGCAGGGCGACATGGGCCTGCCGGGGCCCAACGGAGTTCCGTCCGAGGGGCAGCCCGTCACCGGCCCCACCAAGGACACCCTGCACCTGGAGCACTACAAGGTATGGGCGCTGGGGGCTCCCACACACGGACCCACGCAGGGATAGACACATGGACCCACTCACGGACAGACACACGAACCCACGCACGGACAGACACACAGAACCATGCACAGACAGACACACAGACCCACACACGGACAGACACACAGACCCAAACATCTGACAGACACACGGACCCACGCACAGACAGACACACGGATCCACGAACAGACAGACACACAGACCCACGCAAGGACGACACACAGACTAGACTGGCAGACGCCTGGACACAGAGTGCAGCCGACTGCCGAGACCGCCTGCCCAACAGGCGGTGGCCCTGGGCGGAGCTCGGGGACTAAGCGGCCCCTCCACCGGCCCCCAGAGGTGACGGCCAAGTCTAGCTGCGTCCGAGCCGTCAGCATCCCGATACTGGGCGCCCGTGGGCGGCAGAGCCGCACTCACAGCCTTTCCTCCCCACAGGGCATCAAAGGGAGCCAGGGGGACCGCGGGAGACAGGTAGGTGGAGGCCCTGTGGGCCGAGCCACTATCTTCTCGTGGTTTCTTTCCTTTCTGCCAATCAGGCACTGAACACTTAACGATGTTCCTAAATCAAACCCGATTCTTTCCAAAGGGAAGACGGGTGGCAGGTGGCCGGGGCTCGGCTGGGTGGTCCCCTAGCTGCGCCCCCTCTCTCCTAGGGCTACGGCATGAAGGGGGAAGAAGGCATCGTGGGCTTCCCGGGAGAGCGGGTGAGTCCCTGCACCTCTGCCCCGTCACCCTGCCCGTGTCCTGTCACCCGGCACCCCTCGGGTGGGCGGGCGGACGCTGGCACACGCACAGGCGGAGCCGAGCTCCGTATCCCCGCTGTGCCCCCGTGCTGCCCCGGGACCCCCTGTGGGACACGAGGAACCACTCACGGCCCCGCTCTGCCTCTGCACAGGGCCTGACTGGCTACCCCGGAGAGAGGGGAGACGTGGGACTGACGGTAAGTGGGGACGCCACCCGCGGCCCAGACCTGAAAGCTCCCACGGCCAGTCCAAGCTCTGGACGCTCCCCCACGCCCCTGTCCCTCCCTGTCTCTGTCCCTCCCTGTCTCTCTCCTACCCTCTTTCTCTCTCTCTCTCCCCCTCTCTCCCACCCTCCCTCTCTCTCTCTCTCTCCCTCTCACTCTCTCTCTCGCTTTTCTCTGGAAGGTGAGAGCGTCCTGGGGTGTCTGTAATGAAGAAGCATCACAGTGGGGCCCAGTGCCTCCCAGGGCATTTCCTGGGGTGCTGGTGCTGAACCCCTTCCAGACCCGGTGACTTGGCCTCACGAGTGGGCAGCCACTGCCAGGAGCCCCCACACTCCAGCATCTCGGGCCCCAGGGTCGAGGGCCACCCGCGGGTCGTGTCACCAGATCCCAGAATTGGGCTCAGAGAGAGGACGGGGGATGGGAGAGCCAGAGGCTGGTGGGCGGGCGGACAGGAAGGCTTCAGCGTGGACCCATGTGCCCGCTGCACCCTGCCGGGGGCTCAGCCAGTCTGTGCCTTGCAGGGAACCAGAGGTCCTGATGGCTACCCAGGTCCTGACGGCCCTCCCGGACCCAAGGTGAGCGCCGAGAGGGGACCCGAGACCGGGAGAGGGGGCAGAAGTGCCAGGTGGGCAGTGGGTGCTGAGGGAGCAGGGCAGGGTCCCGACACCCCTGCTCAGGGGCCCCACAGCGGGGAGGGAAGCGGCCACCATGGCAGGGCCAGGCACTGCCAAGACAAGTGGCCACGGCCATGGGCCTGGGGGAAGTGTCCGGAGCCCGCGACCTCACACTCTTCTGCCCCCCTCCCACCTAGGGAGAACCCGGCGTCCAGGGCCCCCCCGGCCCCCCAGGCTACTCCCCGTATCCAGCCCTCACCAAAGGTACGTCCAGCAGGCGTGTCCACCAGCAGAGGCGCCGCGGCTACGTCCTGGGCTGTCCTGAGTCTGCCCCGCATGCCGTCGGCAGGAGCCTGGGCACGGGGCGGGCGGGACAGGCCTGGAGCCTGGGCATGGGGCGGGCAGGACGGGCCTAGAGCCTGGCACGGGGCAGGGGGACGGCTGGGAGTGGGCTCGCGCACCCAGCCCTGACTCAGGTCATTTCCCTGCAGGCATGAGAGGTGAACCCGGGTTCCCGGGACCCCACGGGGAGCCCGGCAGCCGTGGCCAGCCAGGAGACCCCGGGCTCCCAGGCCTGCCGGGCACACCCATGGGAACGGAAGGTAACGTGGACTCACCAGCGCCCCCAGACTTGCACCCGGGACCTCCCTCGCCTGTGTGACGCATGGCGGGGGGAGAGGGGGAGGCAGGAGCGCGGAAGCCCACCCCCCACACACATACTGCTGTGCTTGCAGACGAGAAGAGGGGCTTCCCCGGAGAGATGGGGCCCAAAGGCTTCAGCGGAGAACCCGGCATCGCCGCGCGGTACCCCGGACCCCCTGGGACAGATGGCAGGCGAGGAGCACCAGGCCTCCCTGGGGCCGCCGGGGCCCCCGGACCCGACGGTGAGTGTTTAGGGTACACGCCGGCTGCAGCCAGGAGAAATGGCCCGGGCTTCTGCTGCTTGGCTAGAGCCAAGTGCCATACCCGAGTTTCAGATCCCAGTTGCGGAGAGACCAGGGCCACACACGAAAATGCAGAAGCAAAGGAGCTTTATTGCTAACCCGAGCTAGGGTCCAAGTCTCATCCAACGCAGTGGCATCTCAACAAGGACCCTCATTCCAGATCGCAGGCGGTTTATACAGGCTTCAGAGTTAAGAGCGGTTTATATGTGGGTCTGTTTTTAGCATCGGCCTTGTTACAGTGGTGGTCAGCAATCAGGCAATGGTTATAACAGTTTCTTAGGTTCTGGCCTGTGTGAGGGGCTTGGCACCATGTGAGAACAGAGCTCATGCCCACTCAGGCTGTGCTGTCGGGGATGCCTCCTCTGGTGCAGGTGGGAGGGACCCCCTCTGAGCGACCCCTCGACTGCCCGGCCTCTCAGCCTCCACACCTGAGTGCTCGGCTCTGGGCATGACCAAATCTTCCCTGACGGAGCCGTGAAAGGCCCGGGTGGGGCCAGTCTCCCCAGGGCGTGGCCAATCTCTCCAGGGCATGGACCAGCCTTTTTTTTTTTCGGGGGTGGGGGTCTCACCTGGCGATGCTCAGGAGTTACCCCTGGCTCTGCCTTCAGGAATTACTCCTGGCGGTGCTCAGGGGACCATATGGGATGCTGGGAATCGAACCGGGGTCGGTCGCGTGCCAGGCAAACGCCCTACCCACTGTGCTATTGCTCCAGCCCCTGAACCAGCCTTTTTAAGACTTTTGAGTTCTGACTCCCCAGCCCACCCAGGCGCCTGGCTGCCCACAGGGCACCCGTGTGCCAGTCTCTCAAAACGTGCTGGGAAGGCCCCTGGTGGTTGTTGGGGAGCCTGTGCCCTTCATTCTCTCCTGGACAGCAGGCATCCCTGTCTCTCGGCGGGACTGGAGGGGTCCCGGGCTGGGGTCCCCCCAACTTTGTTCAGGGGAAGAACCAGGCTTATGCGTTCTTTTGCAAATTCCGGGTGCACCTGAGACAGCCCAGGAGTAAGGTGCCGGCCTCGATGGGCGACGCTGCTTCCATCCCCAGCACCCACGGGGTTGCCTGAGCCCCACCAGGAGTGACTCTGAGCAGTCAGGAGTGAGCCCCAGGCATCACGGGCACTGAGCCAAACACTTTAAAAGAAAAGAGTCTGGGGCTGGAGCGATAGCACAGCGGGTAGGGTGGTTGCCTTGCACACGGCCGACCCAGGTTCGATTCCCAGCATCCCATATGGTCCCCTGAGCACTGCCAGGAGTAATCCCTGAGTATAGCCAGGTGTGACCCAAAAAGAAAAAAAAAAATCTGGGTGCAGCTTTCCCGAGTGTGGACATTGATACTGTGTTCTCTTCCCTGTTCGCCCTCCTGGAAGACGCCACAACACCTCTTTCCCAGGACCTCCCCGTCCCTCTGCCAAGGGGCCGTGCTGAGCCTCCCTTTGGGCCATGCAGCAGGAATGGTTTATTTTTTTTTTTAATTTTTATTAGTGAGACACCATGAGGTACAGTTGTAGACTTAAAATTTTGTGCTTGGGTTTCATTTATACAATGATCAAATACCCATCCCTCCACGAGTGCCCATTTCCCACCACCACGGATCCCAGTATCCCGCCCACCCCCCATCTCCCCCATCCCACCCTGCCTCTGTGGCAGGGCATTCCCTTTTGGGTACGGTTTAAAATAGATGCATCCAGTGAGCCCCTGAGAGTCGGGGGCGCCACCCACTTGCACCGGGAGCAGAACCCCCCCACCTGACTGTGACCGTCTGTCACAGGCCCGCGGAGGCTGAGGGGGACACCGGGCAGTGACACTCCAGAACCCCCGTCCACCCCAGGCCTCCTGCCCTGCCTCAGACACGCGGCTTCTCACCTCCGTTTCTGAGGGGCCCCTCCTAGCCCTGGGCCCAGGAATACCCCCTCACTCCTGTGCTGTGTCCGGATCCCAGTCTGTCTCTTGCGCTGAACACCTGGGGACCTTTCCTTTTTTTTCTTTCTATTTTTTTTCTGTCTTTTGGGGTCACACCTGGCGATGCTCAGGGCTTACTCCTGGCTCTGCACTCAGGAATTACTCCTGGCAGTGCTCGGGGGACCATATGGGATGCCGGGCATTGAACCCTAATCCGTCACATGCAAGGCAAGCGCCCTCCCAACTGTGCTATCGCTCCGGCCCCCTGGGGGCCTTTTAAAGCTCTCGGTGCCCAGTTTGGGCTCCTCAGCTAATTTGTGGAAGCCAGGCTTCCGCCCAGGACAGAGCTCAGTGTCACTCCTGAGCCCACCCTCAGGTGCTCCTGGCAGCCACCAGAAGGCCCGTCTCTCCCTCTCTGACCTCCCAGAGTTCTGGGGAGCTTGGAGGGCTGCTGCTCTCCCTTCCCCAACCGACTCCCTCTCCTCTTGCACCTCAACTCTCCCCCAGACTCCAGTGGGCAGCAAGTGACAGGCTGGGGGTACCTGCCAGGTCCGAGGGCTCTGAGTGCCCGCAGGCAAATGCAGCCGCCTCCACAGAATGGCGTGACCCTGTCCGGCCCCTAGAGGGCGCTCCTGGCTCCTTGGCGGCGGCCCTGGTGTGGATGCCGGTGTGGCCACCTGAGATTGTGACCAGTGTCGCCGTGGAGCCAGGGAGCCTGGAGGCCAGTGTGGCCGGGGTCAGGGTCCAGCGCCTGCAGTGAGGAGGGCAGCTGGGTGTGCGGGCAGGGCCGGGCCAAGGACCAAGACAAGCGGTGGCAGTCACCTCCGGCCAGCCCGTGGCCGTCACGGCCCGTGGCTCACTTCGTTCAGTCTCTGCAGGACCCAGAGTGTGCATGGTGGTCTGAGAGCCAGGGTAGCCCAGCGGAGCACGCACTGACCCTCCCGAGCTCCCCTTGACTCGCCTCTTCCTCCCGGAGGTGTCAGCCCGGGGGTGCAGGTGTAGGTCAGCCTTGCTGCCACGGGTCCGAGGGCTCCCCGCCTTGAGGCTGACGCCCCCGCTTCTCTCCAGGCTTCCTCTTCGGGCTGAAAGGGACAGAGGGACTTGAAGGCTACCCCGGCCCCTCGGGCTTCCCCGGGGCCCGTGGACAGAAGGGATGGAAAGGTGAGTGCCACCCCCACTTGGGCTCAGAGTGGAACAGAAGACCCCACAGTGCCCCCCATCCAGCCGGCGTCACTAAGCTCCCCGGGACCCAGGCCGGGCTCAGGCAGGCGGGGTGCTCGCAGGGCTGGAGGATCCCCATTCAGTGGCCCTTCCACATGGGAGGGGCTGGGGTCCTGCAAAGACCAGGGCCCAGCCTGAGCAGGAGGGGGGACCCCCAGGCCCCAGATAGACAGACAAGGCTGGCCTGAGTGCCTTGCCCTGAAGCACCCTGTACCCCCAAATCCTGGCTCCCCTGTGGGTACAGACCCTCCCCTTATGGGTACAGACCCCCCCTGTAGGCAAGACCCTCCCCCGTGGGCACAAACCCTCCCCCCATGGGTACAGACCTTCCCCCATGGGAGACCCTCCCTCTGCCACAGGTGAAGCTGGGGACTGCAGGTGTGGTGACGAGTTCACGCGGGGACCCCCGGGCCTGCCTGGATACAAAGGCTTCCCCGGCACCAACGGAGAGCCCGGGCGCAAAGGCGACGCGGGGGAGCCCGGCGCCCATGGCATCCCCGGCTTCCCGGGCTTCAAGGTGAGTGCCACCCTCGGAACCGGCAGCATCCAAGGCCCTCGGGAGGGGGAGCCGGGCCTCGCCCGGGCACCACTAGCCAGCACAGACCCCCCAGCCGGGGGAGGAAGGGGGAGGCGTCTGCTGTGCGGGGCTGGCCAGGACCCCCAGGAGCCCCGAGTCCCTCGAGGAAGAGGGTGTGCCGGGGAGCGGCAGGAGAGAGGCCCAAGTGTCTGCAGGGGGGAGGCGGGCGCAGGACTCAGGGCAGGGGCGGGGTGAGGGCAGGGGGATGCAGGCCTGTCTGCAGGATGTGGGCTCGGGCACGCCGGGTAGCGCCCTTGAGCGGGCCAAGCTCAGGCTTTGGGGAGAGCCTGGGTCTGGGCTCGGGCCTGGCGCCCCTGGATGCAGCTCCAGCTCCTGGGCCTTCGGACCCCCACGAGGCTGGATGCCCCCGCGATGCCTGACGTGGCTGAGCCCAGGCCTCAAGGTGACGTCCTGCCATCTCGTGCCCGGGACCCACTGTGTCTCCCGACGTGTGGGCTTAGAAATCAGCCCCCGAGAAGCATCTCGGCGTGGCCTGTCCTTTTTTCGCGGCTGGGTCCCAGGCCAGCTCCCGGCAGCTGTTCCACGGGCTGTGTGGTCGTGTGGCCCGCCGGGCCAGCTGGAATGGGGGCCGTGACCGTGGTCCTCTCTGCAGGGAGCCCCTGGCCAGACAGGCCCCCCTGGGCCCAAGGGCGCGAAGGGAGACTCCAGGACCATCACCACCAAAGGTCAGTGTCCACCCGGCCCTGCGCGCGTCTTCCCGGCTCGGCCCCGACTCACTGTCGCCCTCCGCAGGTGAGCAGGGCCAGCGGGGAGTGCCCGGCGTGCCTGGCCTGAAGGGCGTAGACGGCTTCCCCGGCCGCGACGGACTCGGTGGATTCCCGGGCCTGCCGGGCCCCCCGGTGGGTATCTCAGGTGGCGGCACCCCACCTTACGTGCACGTGGGCTAGAGCAGAGTTTGGTCAGCAGACGGTCTGGCTGGAAACCGCCAGGTGGAAGGTTCTAGAAGCCGCACCTGGGGGAGCAGCACAGCCCAGAATGGGGCACCCGTCAGGGGGCTGGGGGACAAGAAGTTCTAGGTCACATGGTTGAGCAATGGCCCGTTTCCACGCAGGGTGACGGTATCCAGGGCCCCCCGGGAGACGCGGGCTACGAGGGGCTTCCCGGCGCCAAGGGCCTTCCTGGAGAGATGGGCCCCCCAGGCCTGGGCCTGCCTGGCCCCAAGGGCGGACGCGGCTTCCCCGGAGAGTCAGGGGCTCCCGGCATGCCGGGCTTCCCCGGGCCTCCCGGACCCCCAGGCTCGCCAGGACAGATCGGTAGGAGAGCCCCTTCCTCCGCCCCATGCGTCCTCTTGGGGTCACTGTGCTCTCACCCCACACACACGTGTCTCCTTCCTATGCCGCAGACTGTGATGATGACGGTGTGAAAAGACCCATCGGGGGACAGGACCAGGCGCCCCTGCAGCCAGGTGCGGACCCCCGGCCCAGCTCAGGTCGGGGGCAGGAGGGACCCTGGAGCCCTCCCACTAGAGTGCTGAGACTCTGGGGAGAAGCTGGGGGTGGACATTGTCAGCGGCAAGCAGGGCATGAGGGGGGACGGGCACAGGCAGGGCCCACTCGCGGGTCAGGGTGCAGGCCTGCGATCCAGCTGGTCTGTGCAGTGGGTCCCCGAAACTGGGTGTCCCAGCACTGGCCTCTCCCCCACACCTGTGGGACTCGGGCCCAGGTTTGAGAGCAGAGCTCAACTCAGGCCCACACAGGGCACAGGCACCCAGCCCCCTGCCCCGGCCTCGACACGGGCCAGCCAGCCCCTCTGCTGCGGGAAGTGACCGGGAAAGTGACCGCCCCTCCTCAGGAAGCCTTCTGGAGATGTGAGGGGCTTCAGACCCCCAGTGAGGGGAAACCCGCCTGCGTGGGGTCCCACTCGCTGGCCTGCACTTAGAACAGGATTCCCTCAGCCCCCTGTGACCCTCCTGGGGGTCTGGGGGTCTCGGTGAAGATGTGCCGGCAGAGCGGCCCCCACGGCAGCTGCCATCTGACCCCTGTCCCCTTCTTCCCTCCAGGCTGCGTCGGAGGACCCAAGGGATACCCAGGACCCCCAGGGCCCCCCGGCCCCCCAGGTACTGTGCCCCTCCTGCGTGGACGCCACACAAACCAGAAGCTTATGGGAAGGCCAGCAGGGCATCTCTGACCCGACAGCCTGTGCCCACCCCACATGTGGCGTTTCTGGGATGATCCCAGTGGTCCCAGACAGTTGTTTGGGACCACAACTATGTGTTTAGGTGGCGGAACCCTAGGACAGCGCGGCAGGCATTTGCTGTGCAAACAGCCAAGCCAAGCTCGATCCCGACATTCCATAGGGTCCCCCGAGCCCCACCAGGAGTGACTGCCGAGTGCAGGGCCAGGAGGGAGCCCTGAGCATTGCCAAGTGTGGCCCAGGAACCCAAACAGAACCAAACCCCAGGACTGTGTGTGCAGGGGTTGGGGGTCAGGGTGGTGGGCTGGGGGACTCCCCCTGGTTCGCAGTGTGTGTCAAGACTGGGAAGGCAGCCCCAGCCGCCCTGGGGGACTCCAGCCCTGCTCCCTGCTCGAGCCACGTGGTGGAGGCAAGCCAGAGTATAGACTGGAGGGGCTCTGGCCTGAGCCTGCAGTGCTGGGGCGGGCACCCCCTTAGCAGGGCTCCAGGAGTTCCCGGACCCTCCTCACGCTCTGAAGGGATCCACGTGGTCCCACAGCTCCTCTCAGCATCTGTCTGAGTACGGCCACGCGGCCACAGCTCCTCTCAGCATCTGTCTAAGTGTGGCCACGAGCCCACAGCTCCTCTCAGCGTCTGTGTGCGGCCACAGCTCCTCTCAGCGTCTGTCTGAGTGTGGCCACGCGGCCACACTCCTCTCAGTGTCTAAGTGTGGCCACGAGCCCACAGCTCCTCTCAGCGTCTGAGTGCGGCCACGTGGCCACAGCTCCTCTCAGCGTCTGTCTGTGTGAGGCAGGCTCTGGATGGCGGCTGTCCCTGTGTCTGGCTTCGCTTTGCTGCTCACCAGCGGCCTGAGGGGCCTGGTTCTGATCTTTTTTCAGGAGGCCGGAGGTCACAAATCTCTGGGGCCTCGCTGGAGCAGGCTCTTGCTGCTGCTGCTGCTGCTGCTGCTTGGTGACGTGTCTGCCTGGACTGGGCGCCAGGCTGGCCTCTGGTGATCGCCAGCAGGGAGGCCCGTCAGCCATCCAGGCTGGGGTCCTTCCGCCCTCCTTCCACCCACGCAGGGTTTCGGGGTCTGACTGGGCCTGTCTTGGTTCCTCCAGGAATCAAGGGCCTGCCCGGAGTGCCAGGCTTGTCGGGGGCTGACGGAACCCCAGGACTCAAGGGTCTTCCAGGAGATCCCGGCCGTGAAGGGTTCCCGGGACCCCCAGGTAAGCCAGGGAGGGACCTCCTGCCGGGTGCTCCAGCCAGGCCCCAGCTCTCCCTGCCCCTCGGACAGCATGGGAAACGCCCACTTCACAGAGGCCAGAGACCCCCACGGCCTGCAGCCCTGCCCGCCCTGCTCTGGGGCGCAGACACGCCTCCGGAGGGCAGCACTCGCCTGGGCCGCAGACACGGTGCCCCCAACCCCTCACACCAGGGCCCACGGGGAACCCCCAATGGCAGCGTGCTTTAGGATCTGGCCTGACTTCTGCTGCTGCCCGCCCCTGCCCCCTCTGCGGACAGTGAACTGGGCGGCTTCAGGAGCAGCGGGGCCTCTGACAGGGCCCCAAGGCCCCACGCCGCCCCCAGAAACCCAGTGACCATCCCTCCCCCGAATCCATTAGCCCGTCCCTCCCCCGAAACCCACCGGCCTGTCTCCTTGCAGGGTTCGTGGGGCCTCGAGGATCCAAAGGAGCCATGGGCCAGCCCGGTCCCGACGGCCTCCCAGGGCCCAGCGGTGTGCCAGGACCAGCCGGACCCCCCGGAGACAGGGGCCTGCCAGGAGAAGCTCTGGGCGCCCAGCCCGGGCCTCGAGGAGATGCTGGCCTGCCTGGACACCCCGGGCTGAAGGGCGTCCCTGGGGAGAGAGGCCCTCCAGGCTTCACGGGTGAGGGGCCCAGCGGATATCATGGGCGGGGAGGGGCGCAGGTGCCCACTAACCGGTGCCCAGCAGCAGAGAGTGGCGTGTGTGCGCATGTGCCTAGGCTTGCGTGCACGTGTGTTCATTGTGCATGTGTATGAACATGTTCGTGTGTGTGTACATGTTCTTCTGTGCTCTGGTATGTGAGCATGCATGTGTTCCAATATGCATGTGAGCTTGTGTCTGCATGCGTGTGAGTGCATGTGCTTTGTGCGTGTGTGTGCAAATGTGTGTGTGCACGCGTGTTCTTGTGTGCGCGTCGCCTGTATGTGACTCCGGGGTCACGGCATCAGCAGTGAGGAGGGCGTGGACGGTCAGCCCCTCTCCTGTCCTGTTGGCTAGAGGAAGGGGCGCATGGGTAGGGGCCAGAAATGTCCACTGGGCACCTGTGTGTCCGGGAGCCTGTGTCTGGGCTTCAGTGGACGTCCATGTGGGTGTGAGGCTGGATGGGCGCTCACCGTCTGTTTGTCCACAGGGAGCCCGGGCATGCCCGGAATGCCAGGACTCAAGGGCCACTTCGGCCTGCCGGGACCCTCAGGCCAGCCTGGGCTGCCGGGACCACCAGGCCAGCACGGCTTTCCCGGGCCCCCTGGCCGAGAGGGGCCCTTAGGACTGCCGGGTGCCCCGGGATTCGGAGGTGAGGACCTGCCTTCCCAGGGGCTCCCGGGGAGCAGGTGGGAGTTTCCACTGCATGGGGGGGTTCCCCACTGCAGCCCCGTGCCCACAGGACCCCCCTGCCCCCAAGTTTCTTCTGAAACATCCCTGTGCCCCCCACAGGCCTGCCTGGGGACCGAGGAGACCCGGGGGACACTGGCGTGCCAGGCCCCGTAGGCATGAAGGGCATCTCTGGTGACAGAGGGGACCCCGGCGCTCTGGGGGAGCAAGGCCAGCCGGGCTCGCCTGGCTTCAAAGGCATGGCAGGGATGCCGGGCACCCCCGGGCCGAAAGGTGAGTGTGGGGCTCTCCCGGGCAAGACAACGCGTCTCCACCTGCAGCCTGAGCCCCAAAGCCCTGACCAGACTGGGCTGAGGTGCTGCTCCCCAAAAGCAGCCCCCCACCCCCTTGAGAGGGTCCCTGGGAAGGGCAGGCGCCCCAGGAGCTGGGAGGTGGCGGGGTCCTGTCACTGGGTGTAGGTGTTCGGGGGCCCCAATAACTGAGCAGGTGTATTGGGGCCCCTGTCACTGCATAGCTGTGGGGGGGCCATGAGATCTCAATTTCTGACCCCTTTCGAACCCCAAGGGCCCATGGCAGAGGGCCTTAATGTCCCCTCAGTCTGTTTTTACTTCACTCTCTCCATGTCCCCTCGGTCTCTCAGAGTCTCCTCGGTCCCTCCATGTCCCCTCAGTCCCTCAGTGTTCCCTCGGTCCCTGAGAGTCCCCTTAGCCCCTCGGTGTCCCCTTGGCCCCTCAGTGTCCCCTCGGCCCCTCAGAGTCCCCTCAGTACCTCAGTGTCCCCTCAGACCCTCAGCGTCCCCTCAGTCCCTCATCATTTCCTCAGTCCCTTGGAGTCCCCTCGGTCCCTCCATGTCCCCTCGGTCCCTCAGATTCCCCTCAGTCCCTCAGTGTCCCCTTGGTCCTTCAGAGTCCCCATAGACTCTTAAGAGTCCCCTCTGTCCGTCCGTGTCCCCTCGATCCCTCGGAGTTCCCTCGATCCCTCAGAGTCCCCTCAGTCCCTCAGAGTCCCCTCGGTCCCTCCATTTCCCCTCGGTCCCTCCGTGTCACCTTGGTCCCTCAGATTCCCCTCAGTTCCTCAGTGTCCCCTCGGCCCCTCAGAATCCCCTCGGTCTCAGTTCTTCAGCCTCTGGCTGGCACATCAGGGTCCGTGGAACCAGGACTGCGGTCCCTGGTCAGTCTCGGTGTCTGTGTGAAGGGAGAGCCACAGGTGGGAGGGGAGGGGTGCTGAAGTGGCACTTTGTCTCTGCAGGGGACCGGGGGTCACCCGGGATGGACGGCTTCCAGGGCATGCCCGGCTTCCAGGGCCGGCCCGGCTCTCCAGGCAGCAAAGGAGAAGCCGGCTTCTTCGGGGTGCCGGGGCTGAAGGGCCTGGCAGGGGAGCCCGGGGTCAAAGGTACGTCCGTCTCCCCCTCTCAGCCGGTTCCCCGCTGCCCCCCAAAAACCCCAGCAGTCGGGCCTGCCTGCCAGGCCCAGCCTAGGGCCCAGAGACAGGACCGCTCGTGTCCCTCCAGGCAGCAGAGGAGAACCAGGGCCCCCGGGACTGCCACCCGTCATCGTGCCGGGAATGAAGCACTTCAAGGGGGAGAAGGGCGACAAGGGCCCCATGGGGCTGAAGGGCTTCCTGGGCCTGAAAGGTGAGGCAGGCCGCACCCCACGGCACCCCAACCGCCCTGCCCACGGCTGCCCGGGCTGTCCCCATGCCCCGAGGGGCCTCCACATCTGACTGGTGTTCAGGACTGCCTGCTCCCCCGCCTCCGGGAGGTCGGACCTTGGGCTTTGGGGAACTGACCGGGGTTCCCGGGCTGTGGGGGACTGACCGGATGTCCCCACAGGCGTCATCGGCATGCCAGGCGTCCCCGGGCTGTCAGGTGTCCCTGGCATGCCAGGGAAGCCCGGCTACATCAAGGGCGCCAAGGGGGACATCGGTGTTCCTGGCCTGCCCGGCTCTCCTGGCTTCCCCGGCGTTCCCGGGCCCCCTGGTATCGCCGGCTTCCCGGGGTTCATCGGCAGCAGGGTGAGTGACTGGAGCGGCAGGGGCGGGCGGGCTGGCCGGGGCCCAGGGGCAGGGTCTGACCGTTGCTTGGTCTGCTGCAGGGTGAGATGGGGGCCCCCGGCAGAGAGGGCCTGTTCGGGGAGGCCGGCCCCACGGGCGACTTCGGTGAGTGGGGCAGGTGCCGCCCGGGGGGTGCGGGGGGCTCCGGGAGACTCTGCTCACCCCCTCTGCCCGCCCAGGCGACATCGGAGACACCATCAACCTACCCGGAGCCCCCGGACTCAAGGGGGAACGTGGCGGCACAGGGACCCCAGGTACCTTGACGGGGGGCTCTGAGCAGTGACGGGCAGTGCCCGCACCGCGCCCTCACCTGCACCCACACCTGCTCCCACACCCATACCCACACCAACACCCCCCCCCCACACACACACCTGGACCCACACCCTCACCTACACCCACACCTGCTCCCACGCCCACACCCACACCCGGACCCACACCCCACACCCACACCTGCACATACTCCCACACCCACACCCGCACCCGCACCCACACCTCCTCCCACACCCACACCCACACCCGCACCCACAACTGCACCCACACGCACACCCGCACCCGGACCCATACCCCACACCCACACCCACACCCCACACTCACACCCGCACCTGCACCCCCACCCATACCCATACTCACACCCGCACCCGGACCCACACCCACACCCTCACCTGCACCCACACCTGCTCCCACACCCACATCCACACCTGCAGCTCCACCCATACCCACTCCCGCACCCACAGCCTCCCCCACACCTGCGCCCCGGGGTCTTCTGGCAGTGCTCTGAGGCAGCCCCGGGTGGGGGTTGGGGGCAACTGTAAGCAGGCCATGTCCCCAGAAGGGGCCCCCAGAGAGCCCGACCCCTGTACCCACTCTGGGTGCTCCGGAGGCCCGCTCGCCTGCTTGGGGCCCCGGGCAGGAAGGAGCGGGCAGCCTGGAGCTGAGTGGGGGGCACGGCCTGCCTGACACCCCGTTGCAGGCCGGAAGGGCTTCTTCGGAGAGAAGGGCGCCTGGGGCGACATCGGCTCCCCGGGCATCACCGGCATGACGGGCGCCCAGGGCCCCCCCGGGCAGCATGGACAAACAGGTCAGTGAGGGCACCGAGTCACCCGGTCACACACCACAGGGCGGGGGGGGGTGGGGTTGCTGCCTCAAAGTGACGGGCCTGGAACCAGCGTGGCCCCAACCCCCGCACCCCCATGGGCCTGTACCTGGGCAGGGGACAGACATGCCCGTCGGACTGGGCAGGCCTGGCCATTGCACCCGGGGGCCTCCCAGCCAGGCCTGATCCCGGGCTTGTCCCCCTGACCCCGGGTTGTACCCCCTGACCCCGGGTTGTACCCTCTGACCCTGGGCTGTGCCCCTGATCCTGGGCTGTACCCCCTGATCCCGGACTGTAGCCCCTGACCCAAGGCTGCACCCACTGACCCCAGGCTGTACCCACTGATCCCGGGCTGTGCCCCCTGACCCCGGGCTGTCCCCCTGACTCCAGGCTGTACCCCCTGACCCCAGGCTGTATCCCCTGAACCTGGGCTGACCCCCTGACCCCAGGCTGTCCCCTTGACCCCGGGCTGTTCCCCCTGACCCCAGGCTGTTCCCCTCTGGGATCAGGCCTGGCCCTAGGATGTTGGCTGTTCCCCTTCCGGGTTGGGCCTGACTCCTGGCTGTCCCCCTCCAGGATTTCCGGGGCTCACGGGGCTGACGGGGCTGCAGGGAGAGCCCGGCCGGATCGGGGTGCCAGGAGACAAAGGCGATTTCGGCTGGCCTGGGGCCCCCGGCTTACCAGGTAAGAGGGTTGCCCCGTGCAAGGCAGGCCGTGCCCAGAGGGGGGTCCCTGGGCGGCCTCTCGTCTGCACCCATGAACACAGGGGGTGTGGAGGACCCCGGCCCAGGGCAAAGACCAACCCAGCAAGAAGCGGTCTCGCCCAGTAACCTCTGCCTCTGGGAGTGACCCCTGTGACCTCACACAGGTTTTCCGGGCGCCCGAGGCATCGGGGGACTCAACGGCTTACCCGGCACCAAAGGCTCCCCAGGCTCCCCAGGTACTGGCCGGTGGCACGAGGCAGGGGGGGAGGGGAAGGCGGGGGGAGGGGGCTGGGGGGGCACTGGACAGCTCCTGCAGCCTCAGCTGCGCAGGGGTGGGGCCAGGTGGGAGACGCAACTCCTTCCCCCTTACAGGGCCCGACGGCCATGGAGACGCTGGCTTCCCTGGGCCTGTTGGGGAGAGGGGAGACCCCGGAGAGCCCAACACCCTTCCTGGACCCCCCGGAGCCCCCGGTCAGAAGGGGGAGCGCGGAGTGCCAGGTGAGTGGCCGGGACAGCTGGGGACCTGCCCAGCCAGGCATCAGAACCCTGGGGCTCTCACTGCAGAAGGGGGTCCCAGGGCTCTCACTGCAAAAGGGGGTTTCTCTGGGGGTTCTCCCTGCAGAAGGGGGTCCCTCTGGGGGTGGGGGTTCTTCCTCCAGAACTCAGAGCCGCACAGCCCTGATTGGTTTCTCGTTCATTTGGGTCACTTTAATCCTGTCCACAGAGTGACCTGTCCTTGGCCCGAAGTGCTGGTCTGGGGGCCCGGGGCAGTGGTCACTGCACCCCACAGGCTGCCGTCCCCAGCCCGTGCAGGACCCCAGGCTGTCCCTTGTGGGTGTGGGCATGAGGGAGCAGAGCAGGAGGTTCTGACCCATTTCCTACCCCAGGGGAACGTGGCCCAGCGGGGAGCCCGGGACTCCAGGGCTTCCCAGGTGTCACCCCTCCGTCCAACATCTCGGGGGCCCCTGGTGACGTCGGGACACCCGGCATCTTCGGCATGGAAGGTGAGGGGGGCTCCTGAGGGCACAGCGGGGGGTGGGGGTGGGGTGGAGGGAGACGCCCGCAGGGTGGGGGCTGGCCGTGCGCCCCCACGTGCTGGCCGCTCTCACTCACCGTCCCTGCGCACAGGTTATCAGGGCCCTCCAGGCCCCCCTGGACCTGCTGCCTTTCCTGGGAGCAAAGGAGAGGAGGGCCTTCCCGGGATCCCCGGGAGCCCCGGAAGCAAAGGCTGGGGCGGAGACCCAGGGCCGCAGGGCCGGCCCGGTGTGTACGGCCTCCCTGGAGAGAAAGGTTGGTGCCCCCTGCCCACCCACCCCCTGGCGCCTTCTGGGACCCGGCAGGGTCCTCACCGCCTTCTCCATCCCCAGGCCCCCGCGGCGAGCCAGGCTTAATGGGGAACACAGGCGCCACGGGCATTGTGGGGGACCGCGGCCCCAAGGGCCCCAAGGGTGACCGCGGACGGCCTGGTAAGCAAGGGCGTTGCGCCCACCGGGACCCCGGCACACGCACTCCGGGAGCAGAAGCTGAGCTGAAAGTTCCAGGAAGTTCCACACGAGCTCCAGCCTGGACACGCTGGCCGGGGCATGAGGCAGTGGTTCCAGTGCTCACGGCCCCCCCTTCTCTTCCAGGACTACCCGGGTCCATGGGGTCCCCTGGGATTGTGGGGATCCCCCAGAGGATCGCCGCACAGCCAGGGCCCATGGGTCCCCAGGGCAGGCGAGGACCCCCAGGAGCACAGGGCGAGGCAGGGCCACAAGGACCCCCAGGAGACCCAGGTAGGAGATTGGGGTGCAGACCCTGCTCCCCAGCCCTGCCCCTGCCCCCGCCTGCCCCTTTCCCCCATCCCTGGCCCCGCCCATCTCCTGTCCGCATCCCTGTCCCCACCCTGTCCCCTGTCTGCCATCCTGTCCACTGTCCCCCATCCCTGCCCCCGCCCGTCCCCTGTCCCCCATCCCTGCCCTCACCACTGTCCCCTCAAACCCGTCCCTGCCCGCAGGGCTCCGAGGGGCTCCCGGGAAGGCCGGTGTTCAGGGCCGAGGCGGCGTGTCAGCTATGCCAGGATTCCGCGGTGACCCCGGGCCCATGGGCAACCAGGGCCCTATCGGCCAGGAAGGTGAGAGGTCTCCCGGGCCCCGTCTCTGCGCAGTGACCAGAGGCCAGGAGGCGCCCCCAGCCCTCACTGCTGCAGCCCAGCCCTGCGTGCGCCCCACCCACCTGCCACAGACCCCTGGCCAGCCCCAGGGCGAGGGACAGGGCTTCCCTGAGGACATCCGGGGCCGGGGCTTGGGCGGGTGTCCCCTCCCCATGGCCACGGGCTGGCTCACGGTCCCATCCACACCCAGGAGAGCCCGGCCGCCCTGGAAGCCCCGGCCTGCCTGGCCTGCCCGGCCGCAGCGTGAGCATCGGCTACCTGCTGGTGAAGCACAGCCAGACGGAGCAGGAGCCCATGTGCCCGGTGGGCATGAACAAGCTGTGGAGCGGCTACAGCCTGCTGTACTTCGAGGGCCAGGAGAAAGCCCACAACCAGGACCTGGGTGCGTTGCCCTGCCCTGCCAGAGCCCGGGGCCTAGGGCGCGGGGCTGCCGGGTCTGCCGTCCACTTTCTCTGGAGGTCACGGGGGAGGGGGCGGGGCGTGGAGGGGACCGGGAGCTGCCATCCATTCCCTCTGGAGGTCACCAGGGGCAGGGGAGCCGCCGTCCACGTCCACTTCCTCTGGAGGTCACGGGTGGGGAATCTGTGTCCACTCCCTCCGGAGGTCACTGGGGCGGGGCGCGGCCACTCAGCGGGCCCTCCCTGCAGGCCTGGCCGGCTCCTGCATGGCCCGCTTCAGCACCATGCCCTTCCTGTACTGCAACCCGGGTGACATCTGCTACTACGCCAGCCGCAACGACAAGTCCTACTGGCTGTCCACCACGGCCCCGCTGCCCATGATGCCGGTGGCCGAGGAAGAGATCAAGCCCTACATCAGCCGCTGCTCCGTGTGCGAGGCCCCAGCCATGGCCATTGCCGTGCACAGCCAGGACGTGTCCATCCCGCACTGCCCGGCCGGCTGGCGCAGCCTGTGGATCGGATACTCCTTCCTCATGGTAGGCGGTGAACGCGCGCCAGGAGCCCCCCACGGGCGGGCAGGTGGCCGGGGGCAGAGTGGGCAGCCAGGATGGACACAGAGTGAGGGGTGGGGGCGGCCTGTCCACAGGAACACAGAGAGGGCAGGTAGTCTGCGTGGATGCGGCAGGCAGCCTGTGCTGGAGACGCAGAGCCGGGCAGGGGTGCGGGCAGCCGTCCATCCCAGTGAGCCGCTGCTCACGCCTTCTCTCTGCCCTGCTCAGCATACAGCCGCCGGCGACGAGGGGGGCGGCCAGTCGCTGGTGTCGCCGGGCAGCTGCCTGGAGGACTTCCGTGCCACGCCGTTCATCGAGTGCAACGGGGGCCGAGGCACGTGCCACTACTACGCCAACAAGTACAGCTTCTGGCTGACCACCATCCCCGAGCAGAGCTTCCAGGCCTCGCCGTCGCCGGACACGCTCAAGGCGGGGCTCATCCGCACACACATCAGCCGCTGCCAGGTCTGCATGAAGAACCTGTGAGCCGCGGCCGGGCCACGCCCGCTTGGTGCTTCTGGACTCAGTACCTCAGCCCCCCCACCCCCCCACCCCTGGCCTGCCCACCGGGGCTCCCCACGGGCCCGGGTGCGGTACTCAGCACCCGTGTCCACAGCCCCACCCGCCTCAGTATTAACCCCACAGCCAGGCCGGGCACCTACCCAACCACCCTAGTCGGACCCCCCGGGAGGTGTTCGGGCCCCACTGCCCCCCGCACTGCCTTCTCCCCAAGGTGGGCGCCCAGCCCCAATCCCCAGGGGGGCAGGAAGGAGCCTGCCCTGGAAGCCCAGCCTGGCCGTGCCTTTCCCTCCGGTGACGCTGCCTGCCCGAGGGCCAGGACAGCCCCTGGGACCACGGGGCCTACCAGCCAGAGGGCCAAAGGTGACCCCGTGCTCAGGGACTGGGATCTGTGCTCTATGACCGCTCATCCTGTGAACGCCTGTGAATAAACTTGGTTTTGGATATTTTTAACCCCTAAAACAGTCTGGACTTTGTCGGGTGGGTGGCACACGTGTCTGCCAGCCTGCCGGGCAGACTCGGACCCAGACCCAGCACCCCAGCGCCGGACACATGTTCCCACACGCCCCCACAGGTCTTGGCCTTTCGTGGCCAGAACCTGGCTGAGCCCCGGACCCCGGGCCCACATTCCACCAGGACCAACCCCCGCCGCCCCAGAGAGCGCCAGGCACCACCCTGCAGAGATTCTGGCAGACACATGCTTTAATGAGGGTCCCCTGGGGCCCTGCACAGTCCCCGAGCCCCCGTGGGAACCCCCCGGACCGCGGGAGACACGGGGCCCCCCAGGGCCTCCAAGGGGGGCCGCTCAGGTACAGCAGCCTGCGCGGGGCCGGCGGGCCGGCCGGCTGCTGCCTAGGTCCACAGTGTGCGGGGGGCCCTGGGCCTGGTGCCGTAGGATCACGGGCACCACCAGGTCGAACAGCGTCTCAAAGAGCTGGTCCACGTTGTGGCCCGTCTTGGCGCTGGTCTCGAAGCACATCTGCTCGGCCGTCGGCGCCGTGCTCTCGTCCAGCATCTTGTACCGCAGGATCTTCCGGTACAGCGTGGCCGCGTCCTCGGGCCACACCTGCCGGCCCGGCCCTGCCCGTCCCTCCTGGCACAGGTCCACCTTGTTGCCCACCAGGGCGAAGAGGCAGTCGGCGCTGGCTGAGTCGGTCAGGCCCAGGAATCGCTCCTCCAGCTCCCGCAGGCTCTGCAGGTGGCTGACGTCATAGGTGAGGACCACGGCCAGCGCCCCGCGGCAGTACAGTGAGCCCAGGCCGTGGAACTGCTCCCGCCCTGTGGGGAGACGGGGCTGAGGCAGCGGACTCACAGTGCTCCCGCCAGGGGGTGACCCTGCCCAAGTGCTCCTGCCCGGGGCTGACCCACAGTGCTCCTGGCCGGACTGACCCCACCGAGTGCTCCTGCCCAGGCTGATCCCACAGTGCTCCCCGCCCGGGGCTGATCCCCACACAGTGCTCCCCGCCCAGGGCTGATCCACAGTGCTCCCTGCCCGGGGCTGACCCCACCCAGTGCTCCTGCCCAGGGCTGATCCCACAGCGCTCCATGCCCAGGGCTAATCCACAGTGCTCCCTGCCCGGGGCTGACTCTAACACAGTGCTCCCTGCCCAGAGCTGACTCCTGACCAGCCTCAGCGTCCCACCCCGCACCTGGGGACTGCAGCTGGCCCTGCAGGTGTTGGGGGCTCAGGCTCATGGAAATTGATTCCCCCCGTCCCTCCTCATCTCCTTCCATCCCCCTGCCCCCCTTCTTTTGTTCCCTCTTATGGACGGGGAAGGGACGGCCAGGCCCGAGGAGGGCGGAGGCTTGCCAGGGTCCCTGGGACAGAGATGAGGAGCTGGCACTAGCCCTGGGGGGGGGCGCAGGAGCGCCCACAAACCACTCAGGAAAGAGCCATGGACAGGACATCCCAGTTTCTGTGTCATGTGCCGGACACTGCCCTCCACTTCCTGACAGGTCACCGGCAGGACCGTTTCCCCGGCTTCATGCTCTGACTTCAGCAGGGACAGGTTCTGTGCCCCCATGAATCGGGGTGTCACCCCGTGAATCGGGGTGTCCACTGGCCCTCCCAAGGCTGGCTCTACTGCGACAGAGCAGGGCGCAGGGCCTGGCCAGAGTCCCGGGTCCAGCTCTCAGCACGATCCCACGAGGCCAGTCATGGCAGGTGCGAGGAGAGACACTGGACAGTTCTGTCCCGCCTGCCCGCAGACATCCAGCATTCCACAAGGCCAGCTCGGGAGTCCTCCCTGCGCCCACACAGACAGCGCTGCCTCCACCCCCACCCCCAGCTGTGCCCACCGGGTCTGTGCCCACTGCCTGGCCCTGGGCATGGGAAACATCTGCCAGGAGAGCAGCATCCCACAGGGAAGGGCCCCCCTCCAGCCCACCTGCCTGCCGTGCTCTCCCTTCCAGGAGCATGGGCAGGAAACCCGCAGCCTAGGGGCAGGAATCACCTGGAGGGCCCCGGGGCCACCAAAGCACCAACCCCCCCCCCCCCCCCCGCAACACACACACACACACACACACACACACACCATGAATAAAGATCCTGGGCACTGGTGGAGGGATGAGTACTTGATCATTGAATGACTGAAACATAATCATGAAAGTTTGTAAATCTGTAACTGTATCTCATGGTGACTCATTAAAAAAAATCTAAAAAATAAAAAATAATTAAAAAAAAAAAGACTAAAGATCTGGACTCCCACCCATGTGCTCCAACCCCTAAAGCAAGAGGCTGTGACGGCCGGCTCTGCACGGGGCCTGGCTGTTTGCGCCAGCCAGGCCGTGGCTTGTGGCTGCACCTGGCTCCCACACAACAGGGCCCAAGCAACAAGCCTCGCGTATGGCTGCAGCATGGCCAGAGTCCCGGGCCCCAGCGGCAGAGTGGCCTCTAGGGACAGGCGCCACGCCCACCCTCAGCAGCACGTGGCCCTGGACGCTGCCAGGATGAGGCTCCAAGAGCCCTGGCAGCAGAGGGGCAGCTGTGCTCTGTGTGTGTGTGGGGGGGGGGGGGGAGGGAGGACTTGGCATCTTCACATCACTGTCACACACAGCACCTCCCCAGCCACCCCCAAAGGCCCCCCGGGGCAGGCTGTGCTGCGGAAGGGCCAGAACTTCCTTCAGATCACCGCACTCACCCCACAGGGACCCATGAACCAAGCACTCAGCGAGACTGGGTCACCCAGATGCTCCCACAGCGGGACACGAAGGAAAAGAATGCCAAAGGAGGCAGTGAGGCTCGAGGGGCCCGAGGAACCAAGCAGACGCTTGTCAGGATGCCAACCCGGCACTGTAGTCCTCTGAGCACCACTGGGAGGTTGAGGGTCCCCGCATCGCAGCCAGAACAGCACTCGCATGGAACCCTCCTCCTGAGTGGCCAAGAATTGCCAGGAAGGAGGACCAAAGCATGGCAGGAGAGATGAACGGAAACTTCCGCAGAGCAGAGACACGAGCGGCCAGAAGGCACGTACAGAATCGCTCTGCACCACTGACCACCCGGAGGCACAACTCCGAACAACAGTGAGACGTTCTCTCACGCCACAGACTGGCGCACGTCCGAAAGGACAAGAACAGCCAGTGCTGGGCAGGGGTGGGCAGAAAGGGAGCCTCATTCTCCGCTGGCGGGAACGCCGACGGTCCAGGCCCTCTGGAAAACAATACGGACATGCCTGAGAAATCTAGGAAGTGAGCTTCCACTTGACCCAGCAACTCCACTTCTCGGAATATGCCCCAGAGGCCAGAAACAATGAGGCAAAGGCATTTGCACCCCTGTTCCTTGCCCACCATCCACAATAGCCAAGCTCTGGAAATCAGCCCCGTGTCCGAGAACAGATACGGGGCACAGAGACACAACGGAATTTACTCAGTCGGAGAAAAGATAAATGCATGCCATTGAGACCAAGGAAACTGCTGTTGGGGTCTGGGGGGCAACGTCCATGATGGTGGGGGTTGCTGAAAGGTGGGAGAGTGTTAGCTAGGAGACCCTCTCAGCAACAGGACTAGAACCTTAGTGTAAAAGCCTATTCATAAAATTAAAAAAAAAAAAAAAAACATTGCTTCTCGGTCTCTTGGTTAAGATCCAGCCTCTCAGAAGCAGTCTGGGGGACAGGAGGCTGTGGGGGAGGGGGTGGGAGGCTTGGGGGGGTGTGGAAGCTGGGGGAGGAGGCAGAGGGGGCCAATGGCCAAGGGATCGTAGCCGAAACAGTGTATGCTGAAACCCTACCAGGAATGACTTTGCGACCTCATGGTGACTTAATCAAAAGCATAACAAATTAAAAAAGGGAAGAATTTCCAGGAGGGGCGCCCAGGCATCTGAGTGCTGCTTGGGGGCTCCAAAAAGGGAGTGGGGACCAGAGAGGTGGTACGGGACAAGGCATGTGCCCTGCCTGCAGCTGTGGTGGCCATGGCACCAGTCTGAGTCCCCAGCAGCGTAGAGATGCTGTCCCCGAACCCCACCAGAGGTCACTCCTGAGCACTGAGCCAGGAGCAGCACCTGAGCAGAGCTGGGTGTGGTCAGTATGCCAGCTGCCCACCCCACTCCAAGGAGAAAGAAAGGAAAAAGGAAAAAAATCCACTTGAAACTCTTGTAGGGATATACTGAATCCAATTTCCTTCCCTGCAACGACCCTCCACTGCCCTGTGATAAACGAGATGAAGAAAGAAAACTAAAACCATGTGCTCAACTCTCTGGTTCTAGAAGCAGGAAATGGAAATCATTCCAGGCTTTTGAAAACATGTTTGAAATTGTTCCAAAGTCAAAATGCAAATACAGTATTGAGGAAACTCTTGAAGTCAAGCTGCTTTTCTGGAAATGCGGCATTCCCCCGCCCGCTTATCTGCGGCACCCTGAGTCCTGCTCAGAGAAACCGGAGCCACTGTATCTGCACACGCTGCTCCTAAACCAGCCTAGGAACAAAGGCTTTCAGAGCTACAGTATCCAGCACATCTGGGCACAGATACAATGTTGCCAAGCTAACCCCAGAGCCCCAATGCTCAGGCAGCCTGGCCATGAAAGCCCCACTCTTGATTAGCTCCTGCAGACAGAATGAATACACAGTGTTCCAGGGGCCTGGGCGGGAAGTGTTTGGGGAGGATGGGGGGGAACGAGCCCGTAAGTCCGTCCCATCTTCAACCAGGAAGAAGAGGCCATCTAGGGGATGGCCATCCCCCCCAAGAGGGAAGATGGACGACCGCTCAGCTGTGGCCAGAGTATATGAATGCCCTGAGCACCGCTGGACCTTCACAACAGTTCACGTGTTCAACTTGGGCCGACATTAAGCTCCTCCCTGCACGAAAAGTTTCTTTTCCTTTCTCTTATACTTTCCAATAAACTTTCAACTTAAAAATAAAATAAAAAGCTCATGTGTCATGTGCATTTACCACCAAAGCCACCTGATGGAGAGATCAGGCAATCTGGGTGGGTGTGGGGGGGAAGGGGAAGGGTGGAGGCTGGATGGACCCTAGATGCATCAATGATGGGTGAGTAGATGGATGGATGGGTGACAGGAGGTGCACGGATGGGCAGACGAACTGATGATGGATGGTGAGTGGACAGATGAAGAGATGGACGAAGGATGGACAGACGAGGGAGAGGTGACGGGTGGATGGGTGGGCGGACGACGGGGTGATGGTGAGTGGTGGGCAGATCATGCACAGGTCACAGTGGGCGAGTGGGTGGACAGAGGGTGGCTGAGCGTGTGCGGGCTAGGTGACGGGGGGAGTGGGTTGGCAATGGGCGGATGGTGGGCAGAGGCTCGGATGGGTGACAGATGGATAAACAAATGCGGGTGAAAGGACAGTGAACGATGAACAGCGAGACGATGTGTGCATGGTGGCGGGTGGACAGATGGAGGAGGGACGATGGGCGAGTCAATGATGGGTGAACAGATGGGTGATGAGTGGGTGAGCGGAAGGTACCTGGGTGGGTGGAGGATGGTGGGTGGATGGACAAACAGTAGAGGGAAGATGGACGAACGCTCAAGGGTGGGTGGGTAGGTGGACGGAGAATGACTGGATGGTGATGGGTAGATGAATGATGGACAGGTGGACAGTGGGTGGACAGTGGGGTGGGGAGATAGAGGGCTGGACAGTGGATGGACGGGTGGGTGGGTGGATAGAATCACAGGTAGAAGCACACACCAAGAACACCAGAACGGGCTCCCTGCCCTTCTCGATCCTTCCTCTGACTCCCACTCAAATCCAAGCTGCTTCTCCTCACGCTGGGCCCCGAGTGCCCGGTGCCTCTGCCCTGGATGTGGATTCAGGCTCAGCAGGGC